ATAAATAAATAAATAAATAAATAAAGTAAGTGTTACTGGTCCCTTGCTATGTTCCTGTTCTAATTCCTAAACTCATTCTGCTACAAAGATTTTCAGGCTAAAATTTGTTTCCAGCAAATTTGCTTTATCTTTGCCTTTATTCATACTTGAGCTGTCTCTGTTGATTGTGGGTGCCTTCCAGGAGATCTTTTTATTGATGATCACACTGCCATGTTGGTTGAAATCCTACTGCATTTGACATAGCCTGTGGAAGTTTGCAGTTATGCCAAGGCAGTCTGCACTGTGTGCCTGATTTCACAATTGGTTGTGCAGTTCACCATGTAACTACTTGTGCAACATACCTGCAGAACTGCTCATTGGATATGACTTCTGCCATGGCACAAATTTCACTACCACTTACAAAACTTTAGGCTACACAAGTGTAGTTGCACAGTAAGATTTCAGTCATTCCCTTGTAACCCTTCTGTTTTTCCCCACTACTGTCTCCACGTTTGTCCTTCCTTAAAAATATGTTTAGGATGAAGAGATAGAACAGTTGCAAAATTTGATTGGTAGAGTTAGATGCTGTCCATCTGGAAGCACCCTATATATATGACAAACGCCACAATGAGACCTTTACTTTTCTTGTGTATTGTGACAGGGTTTTTATTTCTTCAAGGGAGTATTTGCACCACTGTGGAGAACCTTTTGGCCAGAATCATGTAACTCACTTATAATGACATAAGTCCAATGGCATAAATCCCAGTGGCAAATAGTGGTGAGGACGTTGAAGCTTGTGTTTCTTGTCACCCATGGTCACAGTGACTGGTGGGCCAGCAGAAATACAAGTTTTGGATTCTTTAACTAGCAGCAGTTTGCCCACAGAGATTTATGCTGCTTGACTGAAACTGGGGAGCATAAGCAATAGGATTCTGGCCATTATTTATTTACTAACCCTACTTTGGGTCCAAGAGGACCTCCAAGGCAGCTTGGTTCAAACTTTAAAATGCATTAAAAGCTGTTTAACCCTATTCAGCACAACCAATTAAATCCATTAATCAAACCCAACCTATTACTACAGCAAAGAGATAGCAGATTTTTGGATTTGCAGTTCAGTTGCCAGCTCAGGTTTTATGGTGACAAATGTTTTTACCAGTCCTTCCATTGTCAGGACAGAGGTGTGACAGCTTCCATCGACTCTTTTAAAGTGAAGGGAAAATCACTGAAGGGGCTCTGCTACCCATACTCCAGAAATCAGAAATTCAAGAAAAGTGAAGTGGGGCTCGATCAGCTGATCTAAGTATACATGTAGCATGGTATAGGTAATTTGCCCTCTCCTAGCATTTCTTTTGGTTTATTTTATTTCAGAATTTTTGAATCCACTTGGAAGTGGATCCCCCCTCCTTTTTTTGTGCTTAGGTCCTTTAAGGGAGAAAGGCAAGATAGAAATACAGTGGTACCTCAACTTACGAACTTAATCCGTATTGGAACAGTGTCCGTAACTTGAAATGTTCGTAAGTCGAAGTACCATTTCCCATAGGAATGCATTGAAAACCAATTAATCCGTTCCGGCTGAAGAAAAAAATACCCCCAAAAATTAAAAAATAAAACACTGCAAACCCCATAGGAATGCGCTGGGGCTGCAAAAAAACAAAACCCAGGAGAGAAAGGGAGCCTCGAAGGCTGGCCAAAGTGAACGGGGCCGGGGCCAGAGACCTGGCTGGGAAGCCCTCGCCTGCCTGCCTGCCTGCTTCCTCCTGCTCCTCTGGAGCTTCCCTCACTCCGGTCAGCAGCCACGGCTTCCCCCCCGGCTGCCCAGAGGGGAAAAAATAACCAAAAAATAAAATAAAAAGAGCATAGCAAGCCCATTCGGAAGGTGTTCCGTTGCTGAGTTTTAAGAAAAAACCCCTCAAAAAACAAACAGACACTAGAGCCACCTCCATTTTTAAATAAATAAATTCGCCCACTTGTGCATTGAATTCATACCCCCCCCCCACAAGGATGGATTGCCTATTAAAAGTGGATTCCTGGAATAGTCACCCACAGCATGCGTAGGAACACTGGCGATAGATTTGAGCAAAGCCTCCTGCATTTAAGCAAAGTCCTTCTATTGCCTTTAGAAGATGATGTAAAGGGGGAATTCAGGTCTGGGGCTGTCCTCTGTCCTCTGTACTCTGATGACCTTATCAGATTTCTTGAACATGTGTGACTTGGATGGAAGGTCGCCAAATGAAAATACAGCAATAGGTACATGAAGTTCTGCAAAACATGAATACCTTTTCCCTTTGCACCAGGGCATCAGAGACAGAATGCTCCACCATTCCAGGGTGCCAATGGGCAGAAGTAAAAGCAAAGCCGCAATTAGCATCATTTAAAGACAGCCCTGATGTCTGTATTTAGAATGATGTTGGAATGATGTCAAAAGATCAGAGAATTGTCACAGGTCTGTGCGTAGAACAAACAGTCATAGCAATCAACTTTGAACCAGATGTCCTGTAGACAGCCAGCATGTATTCTATATTCTGAAGCTCAGGGGCTAACCACATGCAAACACTTAATAACAGAAAATGTGCATGAAAAGGTGTTTCCCAGGCGACGTACTTCTCCGCTCATAAATGCAACACTGGGGAGACACATCATATAGGAAAGGTGGTGTTTACTCCCTTAAACATAATTCCATGCCTCTTCTATTTGCTTTCATTCACTGGCCTTTGACGGCACTGAAAGTAAAATAGAATTTCTGCTGACCTTTGAGTGGATTGGAGTGGGCGGATAAATTATTCAGATTATGGGGTTGTTAGCTTTTCTGGGACTGCAGCTTTAAGAGTCTTCCAGCCAGCAAAGCCAGTGGCCACTTTACCTTAGGACTCCCAGAGGTTTTATCCAATACAGAAAATGTGCAGCTAGTAAGGTGAGCATAGAGACTAACCTTCCCATGACCACTGCCACCACTGCTACATGTCCCCCTGATTGTTTTATAAGTAGCTACAATAGATGGGTTGTTACAAGAAACCACTGGCTGCACTCTCTCAATGCCTAATTTTGTGTATCTCTGGTGATTGAGCAAGCTGGGGCCCGGGGCCCGATTCAAACCAACCGTAAGAGTCAGTATCTCTAACTCTGTTCTTTTCTTGCAAACCCTGTGGCTGACTACCACTCAATATGCAGGGTCTGGGGAAGGGGCCAGGATCAAAAAATAGAAAAGATGGAGAGACAGGCTCTAGTGAGAGGCTTTCTTCAGCTGTGGATGCTGCCACTGCAATTCTATCCCACTGAGGGGGAAGATCATGTCCTTGAGAAAGATGCATGCAAATATCTTGCTTATGGAAAGACTGCTGTAAGCACAGAGTAACCCACTTGTTCTCTTTTTTCTTTCTTGCAATTCTAGAAAAGGAAGAGGGCCATCACTGCCCGCCGGCAGCATCTCAAGGTATATACTGTTCCTGGTAGTTTGCGACAAACAACATGACACTTTGCTCTGTTTTCTCTTGGCTTTCAAGGAGAAAAAGAGAGAGACTGAGAAAAACTCTTAGCCACACTGTGTTCCCTTTCTATAAAGCCTGTTAAAGGGTGTTCCTTTTTTATCCCAAGGAGCTTCTTCATATCTAGGAAGAAAGGAAGGAAGAATGATTAATCTGAGTGGTTCTGAATATTCCACTCTACCATCCATTTCTTTTGCTGTTACTCATGTGTAGAGCACTTTAAAAATTCCTTTGTGGCTTTGGACCAGCTGCACAGTCTGAGGCCGGCCCCAGAAGAAAGGAATGGTAAACCACATGTGCCAGAAACAATGAAAAGGGTCACCATAAGTCAGAATCGACTTGATGGCACACAATTATAACTATTCTTTAAATATTCCAAATGGTTTATTTATTTGTATTCTTGAAGGCTTTCACAGCCGGGATCCAATGGTTGTTGTAGGTTTTTTGGGCTGTTTGGCCGTATTTGGGACCACAAAACACAGCATTCACACTAGAATCAAAGAACATGAAAGACACTGCCGATTAAAACAAGAGGAAAAATTTGCAGAAGATGCCCTGAAACAAACTGGACATGAAATCCTATTTCAAAACACAGATGTACTGGACAACACCAGCAATCATTATGTTAGACTACACAGGGAAGCCATTGAAATCTACAAATGTCAGCACAGCTTCAACAAAAAAAAGAATAAAGCCTAAAACTCAACAAAGCCTGGCTTCCAGCCCTGAAAAATACAGCCTGCAAAAAGATCAACGAACTCTACCCAGCCACAAAGATCACTGCACACAAAAGACTAGCTAACGACACCCATCAATCACAGTGACAGATCTTCTCCCCCTTTTCACAACAATACACCCATAACAAAAAACACCCTGATCACTACAATTACCCAATCTCCTGAAAAGGACAAATACTCAACTATCCCACACACTACACCAGAACACAGACGGAGTTCTAACTCCTGTCCTCTGAAGATGCCGACCAAAGAGACTGGCAAAACGTTAGGAAGAACAAACTTCAGAACATGGCCAAACAGCCTGAAAAACCTACTACAACAAAGGCTTATTTATTTGTTGCTTTTGTATCCCATCTTCCTCCAAGAAGCTCATGACCTGACTCTCCTCCATTTTTTTCATTTTATCCTCAAAACATTTCTCCTGTGAAGTAGATCAGGCTAAGAAAATGGCTTGGTTGAGGTGACCGGATGAATTTCCTCTTGAAGAACTGAGTGGAGATTGGAACCTATCTGTCCAAAATATAATCACTGTAATCCTGTGTTTCTCAACCTTGGTTCCCAGATGTTTTTGGACTAAAACTCCCAGAAGCCTTCACCACTAGCTGTGCTGGCCAGGATTTCTGGGAGTTGTAATCCAAGAACATCTGGGGACCCAAAGATACTGCTCTGATCACTACGCTGATCACTGGCTTATAATCAGAGCTTTTGCATGGCAGGTTCTGACAGCATTTTGAACACAGAGTTGCTCCAGTCATCTAAGAACAGCAAAAGAGGTGCTTGGGTGAAGTTGTCAAAACTTTCCCTTACTCATGTATTATCCCAGGAGCCTTTTTCCCAGAGTGCCTTTTGCTCAGTTTAAGTTAGTTCTACCTTTAGAGATGAAAAAAGCACTTAGGACATACACAGAAGAGGCAAAGCAGAGATGGCGGATAGGGTTCTGTATCTGCTTATTGTTTTTGTATTTAAAACCAGAGCACTGCCTCTCCTGTCTTTCTACATGATTGGGACAATGCTGTTTTTAAATAAACAGGACTTTTGCCACTGTGCTGGCCTGTCAATAAGCAGCATGCATCAACAAGAGACTACCTGAAATCTAGCAGCTGAACTTGCCTTGTACAAGGCTGATGATGTCATCAGCTGCTGCATGTTTTTAAAAATTAAATATTCCTGATTCCCCCTCTGAAAATCCTAAGGATCCTTTGGGATCTCTTTCATTGTGGATGAGGTCTTAGAGGTTGTGGGATGGGGGGGGGTCTATAATCTCTGAAAATTGTCATTGGTAATAAAATCAGTTCTGAAAAAGCACCCAAAATGTGAAAAAGCACACTTACACACAAAGCCTCACCCCACCCCAAATCTACTCTTACCTAGCCAGGACAAACTGTGGAAATGTTTTATGTTAGCTGCAAGAAGGAATCTGTGAATGATTCATCTAGGCACTTCAGAGGCCAGAGCTACATGTTCTGGAAAAACTGGATTGAATCCACAGTCACTCCTGTTATATTAAGCAATGCCAAATCCTACTGTGGTTCAGAAGGCACTCAATCCAATGCTTTTTTTTTGCCCTGGTTTTTACAGATACTCCACAATTCTGAGTAGTATAGGATCAGCCTTTCACACACCCCCACTAGTTGTCTGCTTTCACCTTCCTTCCCTCCCCTCTTCACCAACTCATTCCTCCCTTGATCATCATTCTCTCTTTAATTTTTTTCCACTTGCACTCCCATTCACACATGCCGTACATAGGATTCCATTTTCTTTAACCTGTAATTAAAATTACATGTCGAAAGATGTGCATAAGCAACTTCTTAAAAAGTAAAAAAAGGGAGGTGGGAGCAGGTTATGATGTTTTTATCATGTGACTTAGCACACACTAGAGTGAAGCAAAGAACAAAGCCCTGCAATTTGGGTGTGTCTGTTTGCATCTCACCTGCAGCAAACACACTTTCTCCAGTTTATCTGAAATGACTATGGTAGTTCCTGTCCCAGCCATAGTATACTGTACAGTGGTTCCTCGCTTAACGAGGATAATTTGTTCCAGCGAAATCACTTTAGAGCGAAATCCTCATTAAGCAAAATAAAAAATCCCATTGAAACACATTGAAAACCCGTTCAATGTGTTCCAGTGAGCTGAATAACTCACCGTCCATCAAAGATCCTCCGTAGGGGTGGCCATTTTCAGTGCCTCTAAAGCGAGGAATCCATCCAAAAACACAGCGGGGAGCCATTTTACACAGCGGGTGGCCATTTTAGAGCCACCGATCAGCTGTTTTAAAAACGTCATCTAGTGAAAAATCGGTTCCCGAAGCAGGGAACCGATCGTCGGGAAGCGAATTTTGCCCATTAAAACATCATTTTGCGGTCGCAAAAGCGATAGCAAAACAGTCATAGTACAGCGGTTTTGTCGTTTAAGGAGGTAATTGTTAAGCGAGGCACCACTGTAATTGTTTCCTTCTGAGGCAGTGTTAAGTATCTCACAATGCCCCCATTCACACAGTGTTTTACTCTTTGACTTCTCATTATTCCTCTCTCTCTTCTTCTTCTTGACAAATGCTTCTGCTCTCCTAGTAATGGTGCGTCTCCCCATGTTTTCTTCTAGAGTGTTATGCTCCAAATTGCTGCTACTGAACTTGAAAAAGAAGCTGCATCTAAAGAGCAAGAAAAAGCCGACTACCTGGCAGAGCACTGCCCACCTCTGCATCTTCCCCACTCTATGCAAGAACTGCAGGTAACCCTTTCAGCAGCTCCTCCCGCCCTCAATTGCATCACACAATAACTCCGATGGTTGGTTCAAATTCTAATTTTAGCTGTTAAGCCACTTGCAGAACTTAGAAATGTTCAATTTTAAGATGACAGTTTTTAGAATCCCCAACCCAGGAAAGGGATTGAGAGTAAACAACAACAACAACAACAATAATAGTAATCATCATCATCATCATCATCATCATCATCATCATCATCATCATCATCATCATAGTAATAGTAAAAAAAATCATCATCATCATCATCATCATCATCATCATCATCATCATAGTAATAGTAATAGTAATAGTAATAGTAAAAAATTTCCCCAAGCTTTTCCAAGTTTGGCCTCAACCCATAACTTCAGACAATCTGCCTTTCTTCAGGTCTAGGAGTCTAGCAGTGTCTATGCAGCTGGCAGATCTCCTTTCCATGCTAGATCTTTGTGGAATGAACACAGAACTTAACTTTGTAAAGAAACAGTCTGTGCTTCACTTCTTTAACTCAACAATGCATACAATTATGTATCTATCAGATGAAACAACCAAATACTGTAATACATTTTAGACAGTATCCTTAGCATTGCTTTAAAAGATCATGGATGTAGTGTTATGTACAGTATATCACAGAAGTGAGTACACCTCACATTTCATAAATATTTTAGTATATCTTTTCATGTAACAACACTGAAGAAATGACACTTGGCTACAATGTAAAGCAGTGAGCATACAGCTTGTATAACAGTGTAAATGTGATGTCCCCTCAAAACAACACAACACACAGCCATTAATGTCTAAACCGCTGGCAACAAAAGTGAGTACACTCCTAAGTGACAATGTCCAAACTGGGCATTTCCCTCCCTGGTGTCATGAGACCCACTAGTGTCACAAGTCTCGGGTGTGAAGGGGGAGCAGGTGTTATCACTCTCATTCTCTCAGAATGGTCACTGGAAGTTCCACATGGCACCTCATGGTAATGAACTATCTGAGGGTTTGAAAAAATGAATTGTTGTTCTACATAAAGATGGCCTAGGCTATAAGAAGATTGCCAAAACCCTGAAACTGAGTTGCAGCACAGTGGGCAAAACCATACAGCAGTTTAACAGGACAGGTTCCACTCAGAACAGGCCTCGCCATGGTCAACCAAAGAAGTTGAGTGCCCATGCTCAGTGTCATAGCCAGAGGTTGGCTTTGGGAAATAGACATATGAGTGCTGCCAACATTGGTGCAGAGATTGAAGGGGTGGAGGTCAGCCTGTCAGTGCTCAGACCATATGCCGAGCACTGCATCAAATTGGTCTCCAGGGCTGTCATCCCAGAAGGAAGCCTCTTCTAAAGATGATGCACAAGAAAGTCCACATACGGTTTGCTGCAGACAAACAGACTAAGGACATGGATTTCTGGAACCATGTCCTGTGGTCCGATGAGACTAAGATAAACTTATTTGGTCCAGATGGTGTCAAGCGTGTGTGGCGGCAACCAGGTGAGGAGTACAAAGAAAAGTGTGTTGTGCCTACAGTCAAGCATAGTGGTGGGAGTGTCATAATCTGAGGCTGCATGAGTGCTGCTGGCACTGGGGAGCTACAGTCCATTGAGGGAAACATGAATGCCAACATGTATTGTGACATACTGAAGCAAAGCATGATCCCCTCCCTTTGGAGACTGGGCTGCACAGCAGTATTCTGACATGATAACAACCTCAAACACATCTCCAAAACAACCACTGCCTTGCTAAAGAAGCTGAGGGTAAAGGTGATGGACTGGCCAAGTATGTCTCCAGACCTTAACCTTATTGAGCATCCGTGGGGCATCCTGAAACGGAAGGTGGAAATGTGCAAGGTCTCTAACATCCCAGCTCTGTGAAGTTGTCATGGGGGAGTGGAAGAGGACTTCAGTGGCAACCTATGAAGCTTTGGTGAACTCTGTGCCCAAGAGGGTTAAGGCAGTGCTGGAAAACAATGGTGGCCACAGAAAATGTTGACACTTTGTGCTCAATTTGGACACTTTTGTTGTCAGCGGTTTAAATATTAATGGCTATGTGTTGTGTTATTTTGAGAGGACAGCACATTTACACTGTTATACAAGCTGTATGCTCACTGGTTTACATTGTAGCCAAGTGTCATTTTTTCAGTGTTGTCACATCAAAAGATATACTAAAATATTTATGAAATCTGAGGGGGTGAGATTGGTTGGGTCTGATGGGAATTGAAGTTTACCAACACCCAGTAGGCTGGTCCTGCTTTAATCATATCATGGTGCTTTAGAGCCCTTGCTGGGCATGCCAAGACTAGATTTTAGGCTAAGTTCTTCTGTAGTCTCATCTGTCATACAGCATAAACTGAAATCTCTTGTGTTGTCATATCCTGGAACAAAGGTGGGAAGGACTTATGCTTGTGGAAAATACTTTATTCTAGACTTGTTATTATGTGCCATCAAGTCAGAAATGACTTATGGCAACTGTAACAGGGCTTTCAAGGTAAGCAAGACATTGAAGGTTTTACCAGTTCTATACCCTCAGTTAGTTTCCGTGGCTGAGCAAGGAATCAAAGCCAGGGCTTCTGAGTCCTAGTCCATCACTCTATCTATTACACCACATGGATCAACTGGAGTTACTTGCAGAAGAGCAGCAGCTCAAGAAAGTAGATGCAGAACTGCAGAACAAAGACTTCTGAATAGGCACTCAGTCCCATTTTCAGGACTAGAACTAGAGTTTGCATGCAAATCCTTACACACCAATCTAACCTGTTTCTCCAGCTCAGTTTAGGAGGGTAGAAATTCCTGGAAATCTGCCCACAATGTCCCAATCATTATCTTCAATCTGCTTTGCCTAGGAATGCTGAACTATGTATGGCTCATTCAGATGTCACTTTGTGATTCCATCCCCGCTTGACTTACCAAGCTTCCCATTTGATTTAGGTTTTCAGATTCCCCTTAAAACAGCTGGGCCAAAGATCTTATCTGAAATTTATGCTGAAGACACAGTTCATAGAGGTTTCGCTACGAAAAGCTAGGAAAGCTGGCAAGGAAAGGTCAGTGTTTTGAACAATCTTTGTTAATCATTTCTCCTTCTTTCTCAACAGGAACTGTGCAAGAAGCTTCATGCCAAGATAGAAGAGGTTGATGAAGAAAGATATGACACAGAGATGAAATTACAGAAGACTACTAAGGAGGTGAGCTGACTGGAGCCAGAGTTTTGGAGTTCAATTCCCTACTGTGCATCCCCAGAAAGCCAGCCCGTGTGACCTTGGGCAAGCTGCACAGTCTCAGAAAAACCCTGAAAGGAGGGAACGGTAAACTATTTCTGAGTATTCTCCACCCAGGAAACTCTGAAAAAGGTCTCCATAAGTCAGATTTGACTTGATGGATTCCAATTATTGTTACTAAGGAGGTAATTTCATGACACGATTCTATCACGGCACAGTCTTGTCTTTTCCAGCTCTCTTCCCCCCCCCCATCTGATTTTGGTCTTTCTCCATCTCTTGTGGGCCTTTCTCAACATTTCATTTCTTTTCCCCTTCCCTCTCCTCTTCTCTCTTTCTCTCTAGCTTGAAGACTTGAACCAGAAACTATTTGATCTGAGAGGCAAGTTCAAGAGGCCCCCCTTACGTAGGGTCCGCATGTCTGCTGATGCTATGCTGAGGGCCCTTCTCGGCTCCAAGCACAAAGTCTGCATGGATCTTAGAGCCAACCTGAAGCAAGTCAAGAAGGAAGACACTGAAAAGGTATAGAGAGGGTTTTGCATGGATTATTTAGCAGAGCTGTCTGGAAAATATATCATTTGTGCTCAGAGAACGAATATGTCTAAGACTTGGATATATTGAGTGGAACCCAATAATGCATGAGTGAACTTCCACTTGCATGGTCAGCCTTGCTTCTCTTCACCTCACCCCTGCAGTCTCCTTATACTCTCTCAGAATTGCTCCTCCAGATGTCTGGAGCAGATCTGAGGGTGAGTAGAAGGATACGGTGGAGGGCAGAGAAGCAGCCTTTACCTGATTACCTTAGTTCACCCTGAGGGAAACTTTTCCTCAGTACAGTGCCAGCACATAATGGAGACAAGGAGCAAAAAAGTAACCATTACCGAATATGTGTTCTCTCCCCATTTGAAGAGGCCCTTGTCCAGCAGGCCAAGGCAAAGAGGCAGTCCTGAAACAAGCAAAATCAGGGAGCTGGACAGGGAACAGATTGTATTTGTCTTCAGTGTGGAAGGGATTGTCACTCTTGAATTGGTCTTCTCAGCCACATTAGATGCTGTTCCAAGACCTCTATTCAGAGCACGTTACCATAGTCTCTTGAGACTAAAGGATGCCTACTAGGATGCTCAAAGACTTTCACAAAAACCTGATCCCACAGCTACAAATACTTACAATCCCACACACTACACCAGAACACAGACAGAGTTCTAGCTCCTGTCCTCTGAAGATGGCCAAACAGCCCAAAAAACCTACAACAACCGATTACAGAATAATTTGAAATTGTTGACTTATAATGTCATTTTTAATAAACTTGGAGATAACTGTGCATATTTAGAAAATGACGTAATAAGTCAATTGTAAAATGCATAGCTTGGAAAGTTACTTTGATGACAAATAAATACCTTCTCATGCCGAACTCATCCATAACTTAGCAGTGGTAGGATGGTACCAAGAGCATCATCCTACCCAGAACACAATCGTACCACTGTTGATTTATGAATTGCTTCATCATGTCATTTTATTCATTCTTCTTCAAAGTAATTTGCCAATTACTCCAAAGATGACAGGAACAAGATAAGACATTTTTACCTTTCTCAAGAAGAAGGATGTAGCAAAAATAGTAAACTGGGACACTCTCTAGACCTTTCTGGTTATGGTGCCCAATGATCTTAAATGCTTCCTGAGGTGCACTTAGTTTTCCTTTCCTTCTTCTTCTTCTTTTTGGACTATTATGTTCTTGTGGTGTTTGTTGTTACTTCCTATCTTTTAAAGAGCATTTTAGCTCTTAAAGAGCAAAAATGGCACACCCTTCAGTTATATATCAGAAATTGTAGCCTTTTCTCTTTCAGGCAAGGTTGCTTTTGAGACAAAGCAAAGGATTCTATTACTTATTGGAGTCCCACTCAGGGCACTGACTAAAGTTGAGCATTTCCCCTCCCCCCTCCTGCTTTTTTCTATAGGAGAAGGATCTGCGTGATGTGGGTGACTGGAGGAAGAACATCGAGGAGAAGTCTGGAATGGAGGGCAGAAAGAAGATGTTTGAAGGTGGTGGTGGAGAGTAAGAAGAACTCAGCCATGTGGCCGGATCCCTTTCCATGTCTCCAATGCTCCTCTGCCAACCATCCTGTCACGTCATTTTTCTGCCAATCCTTTTACAGCATGACTTTTACAGGACGACTTTCTCCGGCCACAGCTGTACTTCACAGAGCAATTTCTCCTACAGAACCTACCTGAAACCTGCCCCCTGTTTTCTTTGCTGGGCAGGCAATTGTCTGGAGCTGCAAAATGTCTTCAATACGTTTTGTGACAAGTGGTAGTTGCATGAGCTTAAAGGAGCCAGTCCTCCTTGGTAGGATCTGTTGTTGCAAAGTGAACGAAGCGGATGTAAATAAAGCTTTGAAAGTATGGCTGCATTTTTAAGCCCTGAGATGGCAAGGCATGAAGCGTCATGTGGCTCTTTATTTTTCTTGCATTTGGTTCTTTTGCGATTGCTGTTCTGCAATCCATACAGACAGCAGCGTTTAGAAAAGGTCCTTTGAAACTCTCTCTCTCTCTCTCTCTCTCTCTCTCACACACACACACACACACACAGAGAGAGAGAGAGAGAGAGAGAGAGAGAGACACTAGAATCCCTCAGCATGGAGGATTCAGACATGAACCTTGCCATGAGATTAATATTTTCCCACGGTGGAAGGATACAAACGTTGTGCTCTATATTATTTTTTCCCCTAAGAATCACTTATTTCACTTGTACAGCAGGCCGAGGCAAAGAGGCAGTCCCGGAAGCAGCAAAATCAGGGAGCTGGACAGGGGACAGATTGCATTTGTCCTCAGTGTGGAAGAGATTGTCACTCTTGAATTGGCCTTCTCAGCCGCACTAGATGCTGTTCCAAGACCTCAATTCAGAGCATGTTACCATAGTCTCTCAAGACTGAAAGGTACCTACACACAATCACTTTTTTTCTAGAGCATTAGGGGAATCATTCTTGGAGGATTTGGTATGACCACAAAAAGTGCCATAGGTGTTCACAAACAGGTGAACTGTTACTCAAGTATATCATCATCATCACAACAATGATTATGCATCACTGCTGAGTCAATTCCGACTTATGGCAACCCTTTCCAAGGGTTTCTAGATATTGCTCAGAAGTGGCTTACTCTTCCCTTCTTCTAAGGGCACTCTGTGACTGTGCAACTTGCCCAAGGCTACATAGGCTGGTTCTTCTCCTGAAAGGCACAGCAGGAAAGTGAACTCTCTTTCTCTGGCTCTCCAGCCAGATACCTAACTCACCGAGCTAGTCAGGTGCATATTTTAGATTAAATACACCTTTTATTTCCAAAATGTTTGTAAAAGCTCTTGTTCCCAAGAATGCTAGATCATACAAACATCTGTCACAATAGCGCTCCTAAGGTGAAAGAAGGTAGAATGATTTGGTGCTGGTGATACAAGGAAGAGCAGCACCTCTTCCAGTTAATTTTATAAGTTAATTTTACATAGTTAATTTTATAAGTTATTAGATGGCCAAAACAACAACAACAACAAAAAACAAAGTGGGAGTGTCTCCCGGAATGCTAGATCATACAAACATCTGTCACAATAGCGCTCCTAAGGTGAAAGAAGGTAGAATGATTTGGTGCTGGTGATACAAGGAAGAGCAGCACCTCTTCCAGTTAATTTTATAAGTTAATTTTACATAGTTAATTTTATAAGTTATTAGATGGCCAAAACAACAACAACAACAAAAAACAAAGTGGGAGTGTCTCCCGTCCATTCTTAAAAAACAAAACAAAACAAAAAAAAAAACAAAGTGGGAGTATCTCCCATCCATTCTTTGTACATTCTTACTAAAAGAACACTTTGTTTTTAACAGCATTTTCAGCATTATTGGTATGAAGATCACAAAAAGCAGCTCAGCTCAACTGTACACTCAAATCTGTTCTGTTGCATGTTACCTGCTAATGTGTTTTTCCACCCCATCAATCCTAATTAACAGCCTTATGATACACTTAGCCAGGATACACTTAGCATAAACCTTTTGATATCATATCCTGTTTAAGGGTGTGTGTGTATGTTTTTGAGAAATACTCATGCATCCCCACCTCTCCTTTATCCTTTAGTTTGCTCTCTCTTCCTCCTGCCCCTTCCTAGCAATATTCCATCTCAGATCAATATTCTTCTCAGATCCCACTAACTAACATTTGGGACTTCCTTTATTGAGTCAACCTCGTATTAGATCTTCCTCTTTGTCTATTGGTCCACCCCATTTTTCACACATGTTGAACAGTGAGCAGAAGAGGGTATCCTATAGACCATCTTGATTGCTGCCATTGTTGTTGTCAACATTCAGGCTGCTCTTTGTATGTAAAGCTTGGCATCCTTTTTCCTGCTGGCAATGGCTTGATATTGTGTAGCAATATTGGGCCATTTTGAATTGTGGGTACTGAAGCACAATATTGCACATTCATAAACCAGAGGAGTTTTGAAGAATTGAATTATTCTAGGTTAAGGTGGTTAGGATGTTAGTCTGGGGTGGCTGTGAGAAGCAGCTAGCATGAGGCCAGGTGCGAACAATTTGCCCCAACACAAGCAAGCACACTTTCTAAAATGGTTCAAAATAAATTGTGTACACAATTGAGCTAAAATAAACAGCACCTGAGGCTCTCTTTCCAACCAAAAAAGTCACATGCTTCTTGGCCATTAAAATGCACACTTATCCGTATGTCATGTAAATGGATATTTTAAAATCAATTTCATGTGTGCTAAACCGGACACCAACACAGAAGTATCTCAACGCATAACTGCACCCTAACTCAGTATAAGGTGCTGTCCTGTGTTTGTAACACTAAGAGTTGCAGAATTACACACACACACACACACACACACACACACACACACACACACAATCTTATGGGCATAGAGTTTTGGCCAATTTTCGAGGAAGAGAATGGTAAACCAGGGGGAGGTGGCACATCCTAGAAGAAGGAAAGATGAGCAGGTACACTTCATACTACAGTACAATGTTCTGTTATGAATTCAACTCATATACTGTACCGTAAAATCAAATCCAGGAGGTGTTCTGTTGGAGGAGTCTTGTAAATGTATCAAATTGCATGATAGAAGGCAGAAGTTGCTGTGAATGACAACTTCGGAAGCATTAGGGTTACGAAAGGAGAAATTTCAACTCATACTAATCTTGAAGAAATTTTACTCTCCACACAGAGTTGGATCATTTAGTGTGTCCTACCAAACAAACATTTCTATAGCAGAGTTCTTCCTAGTGCTTCTTCTGACAAGTTTTTGTTGTGGGGGGGGGACTCCTAGATGCATAACAATGAGTCAAACGCTTCTTACATTGAGCAATCTTCAAACATGGGACAAAAAGCAGCTGAGAACATCTCTGGCAGATACTTCCTAAAGCTCAAGTATTCTTTGTAAGCATTTCATCAAAGAATGAAAGGAATCTGTACTTTTCCTGGCAAAGAGACAGAAAAATTGTTATTCTAACAAAAAAGGAAACAAATATCCAGTGAATGTTTGCTTATTAGAGATCAGGCTGGGTAAGAAAGTTGTTACAAACAAGGATAACAGGCAAGTAATAGCTAGGTAAAATACACAATTCAGCCTCAATAAAAACTTCATATTTCTGTATAGTTCTCTATGCCCTGTTCATTGCCTCTCCACCCTAACACACACTGATTTCTTCGATGTACAATCTGCATCCCGTGAATGAGTTTAGCTGCAGTCTTGAGGGTCACAATGCCTGGCCTGTTTCTAGACTCTACTATTTTTTTTCTCCTGCCTTCTACATTTTAGCACCACCTAGCCAGAATCTTTGAATTATGCTTCTGTGGCACACCCATTCTACACTGAAACTCTGGTTACTGAGAAAGAGTACCAGTGCATTTCAGAAATGATTCTGTTTAGCAGATACAAACTTTTTATTTATTGGTCAAACAGGGCATGCAGATGTGCTGTTGAGTAAAACACATTTTGGAGGGGGAAATGTTTTTAAAAAGTAAGGGAAATGTATACAGGCACCTTTTATCTTTGGCATCAAATTCAACTTCACATACACATACTTCTCCTTGAAACCTTTTGCTGTGGATTCATTCATTTATTTTTAAATTTGATTATTAAATTTGTAGAAAAAAGGGAATTTGACTGAAAACACTGTCATAAGCTTTGCTGCTCCTTAGCCATCTCTTCACTTCTTTTTGTGCGTGATTCTTTCGCTTCCTCCCTCAGTATCTTTTCAATCGATCTAGCTTACAATCAGAAGCAGTTGCTACATCCTGGCTTTGAAAGCCTGCTATGGGTAATAAAACGAGGGCAAAAGGTAATCTATACTGAAGTGCATGGTGGGCCTCCTATCTAAGGTTTTAGGAGAAGAAGAGGCATCTTTCTGTCTAATGTGCAATCGGTCCACCCTTGTGCCTTCACCCTATGGCCCTCCTTCTTCTGGGTCACTTTCAGTAATATGTATATATTTTGATTGTGGTATAAGGTAACATGCAAGTTTCAGACAATAAACACCCTCCTTCTATCCCAAGGTCCCTAAAGACTTCCCCAAGAGCTTCACAGCCTGGGCTGGTGGGGGTTGAAAACTTATAATTATCATTCAAAGGCCACAGCTGATGACATCATCAGCCTTGCCTGCATGGAGCCGTGTCAACAGGATTTCTGGCAATATGTGTTTTTCCATTTAATATGGTATAAGAGGGCAAGAAATCAAATGCTGATCTTGTGTAGGGGGCTGTTTACTCATTTGTTGTTAAATGGATGAGCATGCCTCTCTCCCAACAGAGTCCTGAGGTGGAGTAAAAACATTACAACTCCAAAAGTAAACCTTTTGTTTGTTTGTTTGTTTGTGCTGCTTCAGGTAGGTTGCTTCACACTTGAACAGGGCTCAGAAACATCAGTGAAATGTTAACACAGAGGAAAAGAGCACAGAGAGAGGAAGTAGTGGTCTGCTTAGTCAAGTTGCACCATATTCTCTCACTTCCTCTTTGACAGTAGAGGCTGTTCTATGTACAAACCATTTCACGAACCTCTTCCCCACTGGTCTCAACTCTTGGGTTTCATACCCTGAGTACTCTTGATGAAAACACATTTATGAAGCCGTGAGGCTGCAGAAAAAGTTTAGAGCACTTTTCATTGATATTCAACAAATGCATTTTGTCTTAGGACCGAATGCATTTATCTGTACAATCCAAAAGCCACTTCTCTGCAGATCAAGAACACAGAATTTTAACAGGAATTGACTTTGAAAAGGATGCTGACATTCTTTTAAATGTAATAAATCTCTTAACCTAGGTAATATATTCAAAGTAATTATTCCTGTGGCATGTGAGAATTTTTCTCCCCAAAATATACAGGGCTGTTACCTGGCAACAAGAAACAATGGCCAGAATTGTATTGATGTTTGTGCAAATTTTGTGTAACTTGTGGCTAACTGATGAGGTATCGTGGTGAGTCTCAATCATGCACCTCATCACAAACCCGACTGGGCAAAAGAGATGTAACCCAGCACCACATCAGTTTGTCACAATTAGCTGCAACAAGTTGCTCAGACCTTACTTGACCACCAATAAAATTTGGGCCAATGCATATTTTAATTGGTTCAATTCATTAGCAAGTTGGTGAAAGAATCAAGGTAGTGAATGATAGGATAATTACATATGCATGTATATGAACATTAAGGTTGGTCTTTCTGGCAGACAGGGTGAGATGCCCAGCTTGGACAGCAGAGCATGAGGAGTGTCAAAATGTGCACACCCTCTGGCTCCACTTTGGAGTGCCTTGCTGGCCATTCTCTAGCTGTGGCACAGCTCTGAAATGGGACCTCACTGTGTACAGCATTGGTTCAACAGAAATTCTGGAGATGAGTGCAGTTATAGCATGACTTTCCAACCTCAGGAAGGACACTTTGCACCCCCCATGAAGTATATACAGTATGTGTTAATTAAAGGGGAAATTTCATCTAGTAAGCACAGCTAAATGTCATCCTTCCTTATTTCTCAGAAACTATTTATGATGTGGGTTGTCTGATCTACCATCCTGCTAAGCCAAAGTATTTGGATTTAGGATGGCTTGATCATACGGCTCTTCTGTTGACTTAAACTGGAGTACTTACACATCAGTCAAAAATGCATTTACTGGGAAGTAAATCCAGTGTTCATGGCCAAAGAGATTAGTGTCACACATCCACTTAATTTGCTCTGGCACAGTAGTTTACACAAGACTTTCATCGTGCCATTATCTTGCCTCATTCACAGAGTTTTATGGGGTCCTTCCACAGTAGCCCTCCTTTGATTTTTCACTCCTTCTTTTGTCTGTTTTTTTAAAGCAAGGAAATTTTGTTCAGGAGGGAAAATATGGAATAGCTGTGTATTATCTTGTTATTGTTAGTATAAAGAGTCCTGCATTTAAAAGTACTGTGGGCTGGGCCAGACAGTTCTGTTCTACTGCATACATTAATTTACCATGACACCATATACAATGAATATGCACACAGAAAATTTCTGGCATGAAGCTTAAGAGCTGAGAATTCAGATGCAGGGAAAGATAAGCAATTAGAAGTTTAAAAGATACAGGGAAACATTGGCAGGAGATCAGGAGCAAACTTCAGAAAACAAGACAGGAACTCAAATTCAAAGCAAAACTGATACAGTATCGTGAGCATAAGTATATGAAAATACCATACTCTCAATGTAAATGTTCTTGGAATTTGGGTGCAATAGAAACAGTTACACACATTCTCCTGCCCTGTCCTTATTATTTTGATATTTGGAGGAATTTTATTGAACCTTATCTAAAATTATTCACTGGGTGCTCTGAGGCTTTTTGCATGCCTTTATTGCTGTCTGGACACAATATAGATATCTGGTACAATGTGGTGAAATTTCTTGCAAATGCTGTTAAAATCCATGAAAGGAAGGTTTTAAAAGTTACTTGATTTTAGTTATTAGTGGGAACCTGTAAGGGAGATGAAGGTAGTATAATGTATTACTTTGTTAGGATGCTTTTAACTTAGTATCTGTTTTATATGTGTGTTTTACTGTTTTTGTATATTTATTTGTATGTTTGGAAATTGGTCTATGACCATATTAAACTTGACCTGATCTGATATCATGAGCAACCCCGAGCCCAGACTTTAAGTTATCCTGAATTGGAGAGCAACAACTCTGCAGAAAATTCAGCAAAATGGGAGTGAGGTTACCCCCTTACTAAAACTGAGAGGACATGAAGAATAATGTCTAGAAGGTGGTTTCTAAGCCGTAAACCTTTGAGGCACAGGGGTATTCAGGAAAAGAGGGCATAGGTGGCATGCTTTCTGATTCAGAGGAGATGGACCACCCTGTAGTTGTGGGCCACGTTTGCTGCCAGTCTGGTTCAAATATTATGTCTCTCCACAACTTTCGTTACACTTTAGTTATGGATTATATTAGAATGGGAATACATGTTCTGTGTGCATTTGAAGATGTGGTGATGAGGGGATCAGTACAGTGTAACACCAGAAACTGTTTCTTATGGATCTCGAGAGGGAGAGCAGCAGCTGGGCAGGGAGGGAGTGCTCTCCCTGAAGACCAAAACATTCTAGCACCCTAAAGACACCTATGTGCAGTGTGTGTGGTGTAGTACTGGGGTCAGTTATTATGGAAACAAAGCTTGCCTATATCCGTGTATCTATAACTTTAGAAGGAGATATGGAATGGGGAGTATAGTTTGTGATCAGTTGTGATCAAGTAAACCTTCAGTTGTTCTCATAAGCTGGACCAGAGTCATTTTTAAATAATAATCTGCCTGGTGTAGTGGCTTGAGTAAGATGCCAAGCTATCTGTCCGACCAGACATAGCCTGGGACATTGTAGTGCCCAAGAAAGCATCCTAAAATTTCCCCTGCCCCAACATGCATATTTCTGGCACCTTAGGCAGTAAAATCCCATAAGCATATCTCTCTGGGATTAAAAATACATTTTAAAAATTCAATGACTAATGCTTTCCCTCTCTCCCACAACATGAAAAACTAGTGGCCTCCAAGAGCCGCCTTACTCTGCCTAATACTTGGGGTGACCTTGCTCGCAATCTATTATGTGTAGCATTTGCTGTTTTCCCACATAGCTATGAATCACTCTCCATGCTCTGTACAACCCCACAGATGTATGCTTGGTCTTTTCCTTTTGGCCAAACAAAGTGGACTTTGACCCTCCTTCCATCCCTCTAGATATGCTGCTTGTAGATACTTGCTGAGTTTGTGTTGCAACTGACCCTTCTCCCTGCCCAGTTATTTGCACTGAAGACTCTCACAGAGACAAAACACAGATAAGGGTAGAAAGGAGAATGGGAGGTATCTATCTGCGCAACTATAGATGAGCAGATGCGACACTCTGAGATACAGCTTCAAGACAGAGATTCCTGCACAAGCTCCTTCTCCTCTTCCTTGTTCCCTTTGTGGTCTGAATTTCTACTTGTTTTCTGAGAGGAGATTAGTTCTCTCCTAATAAGCTTTTTTCTTTTTCTTTCTCTTTATGATTCCTTCTGAGTAAAAAACAAACTCATACTCTCAGTCCTACATGGTTTCCGGTGCTGCTGGCTTGAAAGTCAATACAGGAAGAGCAGGGAGAGAGAGCACGTTTTGTGTTCTTACAAAACAGTTTGCAGAGAACACTGAAGTCAACCACATCCTTAAGAAGCAAAGAACATGGCTGATGGACAGGAATGTGTGACAGTCCTTGAGAGTGAAATCTGGGTAGAGGAAGGTGACCAAGGCGAGACTGAAAGGTAAGGAGGCATCTTTAAGACTGGCTTACTTGGTTAAGCTTCTAAGTCTCAACTTTCCAGATTCTCCTAAAACAGCCATAATTCCTGTGACAGTTTAAAATTAAAAATAAGAAGAATTAAAGAGTATAGGTTATTCCAGAAAAAGGTCTACCAGTGGAGTATCTGGATGCCAAGTCCTTTCACTTTTTTAATCTGTTTGTAAGTGTGTCTCACAAATAAGACTGCTGTGACTATAATGAAGTTAATTTTGATCTATTTGTATTCTTGGTACTATTTTCATACAGGCAGCTTTACTTACCACATTTATCTTAGAACTCTTCTCCATTCCAATTATTAGTGAAACTTGGATAATAATTATATGTACCTACCTTATGGAATTATCATAAAGGTTATTAATATTATGTGTGAAGTTATTTGAATGCTCATAAAATGCTACATAAAGGCTGCATATTAGGAACAGCCAAAGAAAGACGTGCATAAACCCTAAGATTTGTCACATTAAAGACGCTCCCATTATAATTTTAACTGGTCTTTAAAATTTTATATATTGTTTTTGCAGCACACTTTAGAAACTCCTCATAATCTGAGACCATAATCTGAGATCACTATTACTTGATTTATATAGTTTTCAGAGATACATTATTATTATTTTTTTGCAGTAGCAACATAAACGAAAAGGAAACAGAAGCAAAAGCAAAAGTATTCCAGCACCATTAAGATCTAACAAATTTACTTTATGGTGGTCTCTAGTGGATTCAGTCCACTTCTTAAGACAGAACACTTCTTAAGACCACGTTAGCTTGTGCCTGCACCAACCACTAAGGTAGATGTGAGGGCAGCTGATTTGAGGTTTTAAGACTTCACATGCCTCCATAAGGTGAAGAATGTGGTTGCTCAAAGGAAATCTGTGGATAAGTTCTAAGATTACTACAGTATTATTAATAGGAATACAGAACCATTCTCCTGCCCCGTTGCTGACCTTCTAGCTGTTTGCAGAGCAAGCCCAAAATAATAAATCACCCCGGCTTCTAGGACTAGCTCTAGGGAAGGGTACACACTGCATTATCTGGATACCAATTTCTGCATTCATTCCCACCACTGCCAGCACCAATGCACATGGTACTGCCTAAAGCTATTAATTGTGTCCTCCTGCTTAGTGGGGTTGGCCCTAGTAATCTGCCCCCATCATTTTTGCCCATGGAAGGGCGATCTGCAAAGTGAAAAGCTATTGTGGGGAAGGCTCTGTTGAGAAGTTCTTAAGAAGGAGAATGATTTTGTATGCTTACTCCTCGCTGGGGTGAAAAGAATATACAAAGAAGCTATTCTCATTGATTTAGGCTACCTTGTCAGGACAGGATGGGAAACCTCAGCAAGGGACTTTGAAGCCCAGCAGAATTCCTTACCTTCAGATGATACAAGGAGCTCCTTTTCTTCACTCTGAAAGTCTCTGTAATTTGCATAACATGTCTATAGTGACTTTCACCACTGAGAAACATGCAAGTGCATCACACACACACACACACGCAGAGAGAGAGAGAGAGAGAGAGAGAGAGAGAGAGCGAGCAAGAGTAAGCGTGACAGAGAGACCAGCTGATTGTTGAGAATGAGGCTAGGAATCCATGTCGTGTTTCAAATTCTTAAACAAAAGAACCAAAAGCTTTTTTGGAAGAAAAAATATTGATGCAATATGCTCAATTGTGCAAATTGTAGAATCCTGTGGAAAAATTATCAACACTGTGTGAAAGTTAGCATTTTTGGTGCAAAACATTGTTCTTACTAATAGGAGAGCTACATTAAGACTGTGAGGAAATTCTTCACTATCCTTGCTTGGCATGGGGTTGTTAGTCACTCAGAGATCACAGGATGAAAGCTTCTTCATATAAAATCCTTGGGTGTGCTACCAACTCAACCTTTAACCAAGTTGGCATTTTCAATCAGCCTTAGCTCTGGACTGCCTTTGGCAGATCTATTGTCTGTCCCTCTAATGTCACTGCCACAAAGTCATGACTCAGAAAAACATCAGGAAAAATATGCAAGGCAACATTTTTGGAAAGACACTTAGCAGTCAACCTTGGCCACATAGTGTGCCTTCAGTTTCCAACATTACAATTCTTTCTGCCCTTCCCCCAATGTACCCTTTCAAACCTATCACAAAGAACAGGACAAAAGAGCCCCCCCCCATCACAGTTGTGTTTAGATAGGCCTGAAATCTCTGCAAAACTCTGATTCCCAAGTTGAAGGCTCACAGCTACTTTCTGGTTTCTCATTTCTCTTCCCCACATTTTAAAAGACGACAGCTATGGAAGTGTAAAGATGAAAATGGCTGTTTGTTCTTTCTTGAAACCAAATCTCTGAACAGTATATTTGCTCTCAGGGTAACCGCAAGGCTAGCTTGGCATGGTTCCTCTTTCCCTTTGAAAAGTTCCTGCTGTTTCATAATGTTTCATTGGCATGTAACTCTTTTCTACTCGTATGTTTTAGTTTTTGTCATGGATTTCCTCTGGATAGATTGAAATCGTTCAGCACAAGTCCCAGAATCCCCCCCCCGGGACAATTCTGACTGGGGGATTCTGGGAGTTCTTGTTGAAGAAATTCAACTTTCCAAGCTCAGCTCAAGTATAACACGGTTTTACCCTTTTCCAGACAGTATTTCAAGCTGGATATTTTAACAGACCCTTCCAATACAACTGCAACCTGAAAGGGAGCTGGCACAGGCATCCGGAAGCCACAAACTCAGATTGGCTCATTTCCTGCCTCATCAGATTGCCCTACAGCTTTGATCCTACTGGGGTGGGGAGGCACATATTTTCAATGGAAAGTTGGTATCACCTGTCACAGAAAGTTAATAATGCTCACACTGACACTTCTTTTGCCAAGTAGCATTCAGGAGTCAGTTCAGGTTGAAGAGGATTCATATGATTTTTATTTTAAGATTGGTCCAGCATGAACCTGAGTAAACAGTGTTATTTATTCTTCCTGAGTGTGCAGCCATATTTGCGCACATCTTTATCTTCTTTTTTTTTTTTTTTTGCAGTTCTGAGTTTTGTTTCATGTGTGGTGAATGCAGTCTGGAGTATTTGTACATGCACACTATCAACATTTTTGGAAAGCCATATATTTTATGTGTTAGGGAGAAGCGACTGGCAACAGGCACTTACAAATGTAAAAAGCAGTTTCTGCATAAAACGTTTTGCTGTTGTTGTTTTTTAAACGACCAAAACCCACTGAGTACCCACATTCCCCAGAATTTGTCTTCCCATTTGTTCAGGGTCAGGGAACCCTTAGCTCTCTAAATTTTAATGAACAAATATTCCCATCGTTCCTCACCATGGGCCAGTCTGGCAGAAGCTGATAGAAGTGGGAGTCAGTGGCAGGTGTTCCATTGAAGCAAATGGCTTGCAGGCACAGGCTATACCCATCACGCCAGCTCCTGCCTCCTTACCAAGGCAGGGCTGTCAGGGCCCTGGCTGTATTTCTCTCTTGATGAACTTCCTGGTCTCAACATGCTCTCTGGGACAGTGGGGAGAAGTAACAGTGCGTAGCTGTTACCCATAGGCTCCAGCCATACCAGCTGCTCCTCACAAACCACAATGCGCCCCAGCTGCCACAGTGGGAGTCTAAGAATAGCAGGAGGGCCACATGTCCCCCAGCCAGTGTTAACTCCTTCAGATTTCTGGGTTAAAACGCTGAGGTTCCACCACCTAAGCACATTGCATCCAAGTTATAAGGAACGTCTTGGTGAATACATGGAGAAAGTATAAATCAAGTCAAACTGCAGTTTGTTTTCAGTTATTTTTGCTTTTTGACAAAAGGTCAAAAAAAAAAAATTAAGCTTGACCGAGTAAGGATTTGAATATTCCTATTTTTCACCTATTAAGAAAGCTGTACTTTTACATTAATTTAAATGTAAATTCTTATGCAGCCAGCCAAATGCCTGGAAAGAAAATAATTTTCACGGCACATTGAACTTCAGACTTGGTTTAAACTATTTATACCTGCCCAAGCTAAAATATAAGGTGTTGCGTCTAAGAGTGAAAGCAAGAATGGAGGCTGCTGTGAAAAGCTTGAACTACAATCCTGAAAAAAATGTCTTCTCATATATAATTCATGCTGAGTCCTGTATGACTTGCTCCCATGTAAGTGCGTATAGGGTTGCAGCCTGACGAGGCTTCACTGAAGATCATCCAAATCTTTTTCTAATTAAACATGATAGGCTTTTTTGTCTTGTCTGGATATCTCAGTGGGTTGGAGCACCCGGAAGTGTAGTCAGGAATCGGCAGTTTGACATCCTCCTGTTCCTCCTGGGAGAAGCGCCAGCCTGTGCAACCATAGGCAAGCTGCATGGTCCCAGAGCACTAACAGAAGGAAAGACTGATAAACCACTTATGCTTAGAATACTGCTGGCATTGCCACAAGTTGTAATCAGTCTGATGGCACATCATTTTTAGCCTTCTGAAACGGGGATATTTGAGGGTGTGGCAGAGAGAGAGAGAGAGAGCGCATTTCTCAATTCTTTTGGATGGCATTTCTCATCATCCCTCACTATTATCCATTGTGGCTGGGGCTAATGGGAACTGCACTTCAATAATGTCTGGTGGGCCACATATTTCCTACCTCTGCCTTGAAGACTGGAGAATAGCTCCTACCTAATATTTCAGCTTTCAGACAGAGATGAGAAGAGTTACTTTTTTGGGGGGGGCACTACAACTCTCAGGGTATTGCTGCCCCCTAGCCATGCAAACTGGGGTATTCCCAGGGCTCACTGATACAAGTTGCTATCTGATTTATCTAGATGCGTGCCCTTAGGTGGCACCATAAATCTGCTGGGCCGCAATCATCTAGCAAATGTTAGGCATTTCGACCTGTCACTGACACCATAAGGGAAGGAAGTGTGCTTAGAATCATACACTCATGGGATAATGGAATTCAACCCCCTGCCAGAACCCAAACCAAAGTACTGTATATCAGTATATCATTAGTTGTCTAATTTTCTTTTGAATGCCTCCAGCACTGGAGTGCTCACCACCTCCCTAGTAGTTTGTTTCATGATTGTACTGCTCTAACAGTAAGGAAGTTTTTCCTGATGTTCAACCAAAACATTAAGAAGAAAAATAGCAACACTTCCTGGTCTGTCTGTCTGTCTGTCTGTCTGTCTTTCTTTCTTTCTTTTTCTTTCCCTCCCTCCCTCCCTCCCTTCCTTCCTTCCTTCCTTCCTTCCTTCCTTCCTTCCTTCCTTCCTTCCTCTTGAAGGCACAAGCTTTCTCTCTCTTTTGTGGGGATACACCATGTTCTCCTCCCTCTTTTTCATGCATTGGTGGTAGAATGGATGGGAGATGGTGCTGCTTGTCCAGGTACCAACATGTTTAGTTACAGGCCCGTCTATGGTAGCAACACAACATACCTTGTTTTTAAAGGTAAAGCTCACCCCATCAGAAAGTTTGAGAAATGCTCCCTCACAATCCAAGTCACTGAAGTTCTCCTCTCCCCCACTTCACTGGCAGTGGGGGAGAGACACGAACTTTCAGCTTATGCATATTTTATTGCTGAAACACAGCACTTCAAACCATGTTTGAATGCAAACAGGAAATCTAGAGGAGCTGCCTGAAGACTTCCCAGTGTCTAGAAGTTCTAGTCAGTAGCTAAAGGCCACTCTATTTTGTGTTAAAAAAAACAAACCCTGACACTATTTCAGAGAATACGCATGACAATGCCATATATACAGGCAAATAACTTGGGAGGAAGGGAGGCACTTCTCCTGTTGAGAAGCTATGAGGTCCTTGATTAGAAAATAGCTTCTTACAGACCGCTTGAACTATCCATGCAAACCTTCAGGGTTGCCTTCCTACTCTGGCTTCTTGCTTCTTGACCCCCTGCAAAGGGTCCAAGGCTGCCCATGTACGGTCATGGCTTAAGCCTGACTTTGCTGTGCCAGCAGGGTTTTGTCCTTTGCCTTTTGCCACGTTCATCTACAGCTGTCCTGAATTCTCCAGATCCCTTCGTGGAGACTTGGAGAGTCGAAAGTAAGATTACAGCAATTGCTAAGAATATCCAGCACTGGAAGGAGATTGTCTGGGAAAACTGATAGCTAGTGAAGTATTTCTGGACCTCTTGGAACTGCATTCCAGTGGATGGGGTAGAAGAGCCACTGCTCTATGTATAACTCAAACATACATGTGTGTCATTTTAAAAAATATTATGAAAAAACATCATGTTCCTCTTTACTGAATAAAAGAAGGAAGTGAAGGGTCTCTTTGGTCTTGCAATGAGCCACAATGTATGATGACAGGTTTCAAGAAAGTCAGCTACCCATTTCATTAATACATGAGGTTTCTCATCTTTTATTTGCTTCCAGCACCTGAAAACACTGGAAGCTTCCTGCATTTTTGCAAAATCTTTCTTTGCACAATCAAAATTCCAGCCATGCCTCTGGTGAGAATTAGTATGATCGTGATGTTGTCAGTGCCGAACAAGGGTATGTGGCAGCTTGAGAGTCACTCTACGGCTCTT